AGTTAAGTATAAATATAATGAGGGGTTGGCGGCTAGGGTTAATTCAAGAATCCTGGTTGACTTCCTACTCTTTTCTCCCTCTCTTTTCTTCTCTACTACTGAAATCTTTATCTTCCTCCCCTTTTCCTTTCACAAGAAATTCAACTAAATCTACAATTAGTGATTTCTACTTTCTCCAATCTCTTGTATATCTATGGACCGTGATGGATATCACATATGTGAGGAACCAAAATAATCTGACATAAAACAACATTGAAAAAGAAAGAAAAGAAACTAAAATCCAAGGTAAAATCCATCAATATGAAGGTTAGGGTCAAACTACAACAAATCCATAAAATCTATCCATTGCTTTGATAGTTAGAATGTAAAATATGGGATGAAAGACTAGTGAAAAATAAGAAATAAATGCATCACATAAATAGCCTATACGTACCACAGCAACTGTTGTTTTAAGTGCCAATCCGTGAACTCGAGGTAAAATTTCTTGTTTCACCATCTGCCAAAAAATGAAAATAAAAAGGTGTAGAAGAGGAAAATTGAAAAGGCTTCTCCATGGATAAAGCTTATATGGACATTGTTAGCAATAAAAGCAACCATAACCTCACAAGTGACATGGATAGTCAATAGGTCTAGGCATAAATGACCTAATCTCAACTAATCTCCAATACATGTTAAAAAAAACCAAAATATTCAATAGTAAAGGATCCTTAACTTATTTATTGACGCTTTTATATTACTATCTGAAGCAGCTGAAAAAGATGCCACTTTCTGTCATTTTAGAAAACAGTAATCAAGCAAATGACATTTATTAGGGATTGAGAATCCCTGGTTATCATACATGTAACTTTTTGGCTTAGCACATTTTCCACTAGGTAGTACCTAGATTTTACATCTGACAGACTGGGAGTTGGTGGCACTGTCTTCATGGTTGTTAAAAAATATGAAATGAGAGGGGTGTAGAATACTTGATACCATTAGTTAACATGTTCAACACCCTATATTTGATGCTTTAAAAGATTTTCCATCATAATTCTGAAAGAATTTCAGCCCTTTCAATGGTGCTTTGGAGGTTTTACTTTTCAACAGTATTGACATTTCTGAATAACGGACATGGCTCAAGCATGTTATTAGAAATTACTAGATAGAGGATTGGATCCTAGGACAAGCTATGAGGTAGATTTTGGTTCAGACTTCAGGCATCATAAACCTGGGAACTCCATATGACAAGATCTATTTCCTCTGAAAGTTTTCGGCCCACTCCTTTGCCTGCTTCTGGAAATGCCAATATGTATTATCCCCTTGTTTTAGGAAGCATACCATATATAGAACTAGGATCACCATGTTGGTCTTCTCCATGATAGATATAATGTATGGGAACCCACATTAATGATGCATATACTACAGCACATGTATTGTCCTTATGACACTAGAAGAAAAACAGTCCAAAAGAATGAAAGGACTAATTAAAGTTGTGAAAAAAGTATTAGATATCAGCAGCAAAGAGAAAGAAGAGGAGAGAAGAAGAAGATCCCTAAATCCTTTTCAGTAAACATGATTTACAAAGTTTTGATATTTACAGAGAGGCCCTTAATTGGGCGATTAACTTAATTAAGCATAACATAAAGAAACATAAAAGTTCCATTAACAAAAGAAACAGAAACATAAACAAATAAAAACATCCTATGGGCCATTCGACCCATTCTCTCTACACTCCTCCTCAAGCTGAGCATAGATGTCAACCATGCTCAGCTTGCTAGTGTCATGTTGTAGTTTGGCCTTGGAGATTCCCTTGGTAAGAACGTCAGCTAACTATTCTTCAGATGTAATGAATGGTAGACAAACTTCTCCAGAAGCCACTCTTTCTCTGATAAAATGCCTGTCAACTTCAGTATGTTTAGTCCTATCATGTTACACCGAATTATGAGCAATGTTGATGGCGGCCTGATTATCAAAATATAGCATCAATGGCTTATCATACTCAAAACCTAGTTCCTCCAACAAGGATTGAATCCAAAGTAACTCAGAGACTCCATGAGCCATAGCTTTGTACTCGGCCTCAGTTGAAGATTGGGAAACAACTAATTGTTTCTTGCTTCTCCAAGAAGCAATAATACCTGCCACCATGCTATAGTATCCGAAAGTTGACCTCCTATCACCAATGTTTCCCACCTAGTCAACATTTGTGTAAGCCTCTAGTTTCATATGACCATGCTCAGCAAAAAGAATTCCCTTTCCAGGAGTACTCTTCAAATAACATAAAATTCGTTCTGCTGTTGCTATATGAGTGTCCCTAGGAGCATGCATGAACTGGCTAATGCAATTGACAACATATGCAATGTTAGGCCGAGTCATGCAAAGATATAGCAGTTTCCCCAGTAATCTTTGAAACACCTCCTTATCCTTCAATAGTTCTCCATTAGAGGCAGAAAGTTTGTGACTCATATCAATAGGAGTAGCCACTGGTCTTGCACCCATCTTGCCAGTTTCAGCGAGTAAGTCTAGCACATACCTTCGCTGAGAGATACCATCCTTAGACTGAGCCACTTCAATGCCAAGGAAATACCTCAACTCCCCCAGATCTTTGATCTCAAACTCTATATGAAGGAAAGATTTAAGATCATTAATCCTTGTCACAACAGTCACTACTATATCATAGTTGAAAAACAGTCCACTTGATGTATGGAACTGTTTGAGATTAGATGCAAACCAGAAAATAAACAAACAAGAGAAGAAGAGAAGAGAGAGCTGGCGGCAATGAGTGTTAGAGAGTAAGAGGTTCGAACATAACCCCTCTAACACTCTAAACATCTTATTAATAAGTTAATCTTTGACAAATTATAGAGAGGCCCTTGAGTGGGCAGGAAAATACAAAAAACAGAACATTATAGAGTATGAGCCCAGAATAAGGCCCACAACAGAGAGAAACATAACATTACATGAAATGACAGTCTATGGGCCATTCGGTCCATCTTCTCTACACTCCCCCTCAAGCTGAGCATAGATGTTAATCATGCCCAGCTTGCCAATGTCATGTTGAAGCCTTGCCTTGGAAATGCCCTTGGTGAGAAAATCTGCCAATTGTCCTTCAGAAGTAATGAATGGAAGACACACTTCACCGGAGGAGACTCTTTCTCGAATAAAGTGTCTATCAACCTCA